GTAGATGTCACTGATGAGGTACATTTTCAAGGAGTTTTAACCTTTTTATTTCCTGTGCTAAAGGAAGACATCCCAGAAACTTCACAAGACTGCATCTGCTCATCTCTAGTTTCACCTCACACATCGGATGGGCACTGAACCTTTCACATGCATCGTCCACTCCCTCCATAAATAGATAAATGGATAGATGGGTAGATAGATGCATGGATAGATAGAAGAGGGATAGATAGATGGATGGATAGATGAAGAGATGGGTAGATAGATYGATGGATAGATGGATAGATGGGTAGACAGATGGGTGTGCAGGCAGCTGATGGGTAAGTATTATGTAGATAAATAGATAGACGGGTAGATGGATGGATGGTAGACGGATGGATACATGGATAGACGGCTGGACAGATGGGTAGATAGATGGGTAGATAGATGGATAGATTAGTGTTGTAGTACTTGAAACTGGTCTTGGTCTTAAGACCVGTCTCAAGACCACTTTTTGATGGTCTTGGTCTTGTCTCGGACTCGACAGCATTTGTACTCGGTCTTGTCTCGATCTCATACTTTGAGGACTCGGAATTTTATTTCAAGACCAGTCAAGACCGCAACTATGGAAATATGTTTCTGATTTATTAATTAACATTCTTGCTTTCATTGGATTTAAAATGTAGCTACTGATTAAAATCCAAACCTGAATTATTGCTATTTTTGTATTTTTTCTACCGGCTGTCACTCATTCCCACTGTCTTCACTCGCACGGAGCACTCCAAGAAAGTGAACCGTGGTTCTCTGGGAGCGGTAAAAGATGTCTTCAAAATTTAAATATAAAATTTGGCTACATTATTCTTAAATAACATCATTGTAAAACAACAACAACCAGGAGAAAGTGTACAGCAACTTGTACATTCTGTAGTGCTTTACTTTCAGAGACAGTGTGGACAACTTTAAGCTTTTATCGTCACTAACGTTAACAATCTGCTCGGTCTCGGTCTCGCCCTCCCTTGGTCTTGGTCTCGACTTGGTCCAAACCCTAAAAGTCTTGGTCTTGTCTCGGTCTCGCCCTCCCTTGGTCTTGGTCTCGACTTGGTCCAAACCCCAAAAGTCTTGGTCTTGTCTTGGTCTCGAGACACTGTGGTCTTGGTCTTGACTTGGTCTCGGGTTAGGTGGTCTTGACTACAACATTTGGATAGATAGGTAGATAGATGGATGGGTAGGTGGATGATGGGTAGGTAATGTAGGAGAGGAAGCTTAGGGTGAATTAAGCTTTTCCTACATCTCTCATACACAAGGTTATGAGGAAACTTTACCAAGGTATTTTCTCTTCTTTTTTTTTTTTTTCCGATCGGGGAAAAAAAAAGGTATTTTCTCATTACTTTTAATATCTTAACTGTGCGAAGTGAAAAGTGACACAATAAGTGAACGTTCAGATGAGTTCAAGTTGATTCATAAAAGACTATGCAATCATTTATTTACACAATTTGAACAAATCATAAGTACACTTAATTGGGGGTATTTCTATAAAAGGTGTCAGAGTTAAATGAGATAAAACTCGCGTCCGAATTTCAGTTTACATCAACTCAGATTACTTATATAGAACAGTAAAATGTTAGTTCTGATGTTACAACCAAACAATTTTACTGGCACTTTCTGCTTAAGTTTTGGCAATTCAGAACAAAGTAAAGGATGAAAGTAAGGTTAGTATTATTACTAATTTTACTTTATCAAGAGTGTGGTCCAACCGGATCAGCACGTTCCTTCTGCACTCAGTTTCCACATGACACGTCACCCGGAACATGTCAGTTTTACCTGGTGATGGCTTCTTAAGCAACCCCTGGGTAGGAACTGTCTCACCTCCGATCAGTCAGGGAACTTTTTAATCGGCTCTCTTACTGTTCCTTGGAGAGAAAGGTGTTATTTCAGGTAACTTTTCGTCTGTTTCAGTCCAAGCCAGAAAGACTCAAGCTGTACATCTGGTTCCTCCTTTCAAAATAAAATCTCCCCTCGGGAGTTAAAAACACACTTGGAGACTTAAAGCCTCAGGGTGGGGCTGGCTGGCGTGCCGAGCCCCGGCTGTTAGGACTCCCTAGTTAGCTAATGGGCTGAGACCCAACAGGCCAAACTGAGTCTCTCCCGAGACAGAAAACTCAGCTTTCCTTCCTAGTTGGAGTTAGGAAGAAGAAGTGTGTCTCTCAAAGACATCCGTGTTAGTAATGGAAACGGACAAACTTTGGTTTCGTCCTCAGGCTTAAGATGAGTCAGAGAAAGAAAGATAAAGAGATTTGCCAGCAGCGCCAGCTCAAGGCTAAAATTCTGTGGTTGTCACAACAGAATATGATAACCTTTCCTCTGACAGACTCTAAGAGAAATCACTGCAAAACATTTATGATGATTAATTAACATTTCTGTTTTGTAATCAGTCTGAACCATTCTGTTAGTCCAGATAAATGAAAGATTTTCTCAAGAAAAATCCACAATTATATTACTGTGTTCACAGTAAAAATAAAACAGTGATTTACATAAAAACACAATGAAAACATTGTAATGATTTTCTCTGTGATTTCTTATACCATTAATTAATCTTTTAGGCACGATAAAAGAGTTGAAGTGGTTTCCACTTTTCTTGTGACAGTCATTATCATGATTTAACAAATGCACAAACATTCTTAGTTAAACAACAAATGAATCACGAACAGAAGAGATTGTTCTGTCCATTATCTGATTAAGAGAACTGAGGAGATCTATTCTGGGTTGAAATGACCTGTCATGGCCTAAATAGAGTTCAGTTTATGACAGAGTTCCTGTCTTCTCGTCAGGCCTGTGCTAGGCCTGCTTCGAGGCAGTAAATCTTGTTTCTTCACTCGAGGTGACCCCTACAGGAAGTAGGTAGATAAGTAGATAGAATGGATAGATGGATACATGGATGGATGGATGAATAGATACTGTACATGGATACATGGATGGATGGATGAATAG